ACGGAGAGAAAAAAAGAAATCACTTTGAGAGAAGTTAAAAATTATGCAAATTAGCGTCACATGGAAGGCACGACCGCTTTGGTAATTAAATTATGTGTATGAGACCTGGGTCACGTGCCAAATTTAAACCACTAAATATCAATCTGGATGTTGTACTGCTGTCATAGGCGGATCCAGGACGGATTCCTGGGGGAAGGACGACGGGTAATTGCAAGGGGAGAGGGGGAGGGAGCCTCCTCCACCCTGGAATTGCAAAAACTAGGAAGAGAGTTGTAACACTGCTACTTAGAGTTACTTTAGTTTGTTTTTGGAGTTGCACAGTGACCTAGAATATTCCCATAAAATTTCATTTTCTTAATTTCTCTGGTTCCTGAGCTGAAAGCGGATGATAAAATCCTAGCACACAAACACACACACATACATCGACAAAATCCTATCAGTATGCGCTTTCGCGTTTAACAAAGATGGAAAAATGCATATGAAGTCGTGTTTGATTCCTCGTTTTTTTCTTTAGAAGTCGTTTCCTGAAAACAGATCGTCCTTGCTATGTTGGTACTAAGTCTCCCAGCTAAGCGCAGATGTTTTCGTTACTCTCAAGAAATGATTTACTTTTTACTTTCTTTTATGCCTCGTTGTTCAGCTGATTCAAAAAGTTCCATAATGTACATTTCAGAGCGTCGGTGAATTTATCTTAACAAATCGAAATATGAAAATTCCACGAAAGGGCAACATTTATAGTGTCAATGAAGGATATGCATCGAAATGGTCGAAAGGTATTCAGGAGTACGTGCACTCCCGGAAATTTCCTCCGGATGATCGGGAGCCAATGAATTCACGCTACGTTGGTTCGATGGTCTCTGATGTGCATCGTACATTGCTGTACGGTGGCATTTTCATGTATCCTGCAACGAAGGACAAACCAAAAGGAAAGGTTAATCTTTCTGAACTCTTCTCTTCGAGCATCCCCGGACCTGGGAGGAAGTAAATTTTAGAAAGTAATTAGAAAAATTTAATTATTTTCGAAGCAGAATGTGTTATTTTTCTCCTCCCACCCGCAACTGATATATTTTGGACTCATTACAGTGATATCCGTGCCGAGATGTTAACGCAGTCGCAAAACACCTCAGGTTATCATTTGCGAAACCCTAGTTTTTATTGCTGTCGTGCCAGCTCCTAGGAACTGCTTTTTAGTGCACAATTAAAGGGAAATTTTTAGTCTGAAAAACGCATCAGGGAAAATTATTAACTCATTTTTCTTTTTTTT